TATACACGTAAGAAAGTCCTTTTCACTTTGTTGGTCACATCACTGTCGCCGCCATATGTAGCATAATCAGCATTTTTCCTCTGGCCGCGTGTAATTTGTGCCCGAGCTGAAACTGAATGCATAATTGCTGTGTGAAGCTGCAAATTTATAGACAGACTTAGCCAACGAAATGGGCACTATCTTAAGAGAGGCATGAATGCACTGTGTCCTATAAAATGCAGCTTATGCAAGAATGTCTACTGTAGAACTGTATGTCTAGAACAACTTATCACAGCAACGTGTGGTCACACCGCAGTTCATTATTATTATTAATTATTATTACTGTTATTATTATTGTTATTATTATTGGCATTACGGTGTCAGTTACAAAATCATCCTTTGATAAGTAGAAAACTTTTGAAAATATCCAATTGTTTTAGATTCACGACACAAAAGGGATACTTTCTTAGAAACTGTGTGTTCGAGACTACCAGACATGCCTTATTGTCAAAAGAATCGAAATAGAGTGCCAGAGCCCGGATCAGTCAATGGTATCAGTACTTTCTTATTGACAAGCTTTCAGATATATCAATTATCATTACACTGCCCATGCTAGTCTCGAAGTGTATCCTCATTAACACTAGGCTAACAAGGAAAAGCAAGTGGCAAGTAGAAAATGAAGCAACTTTTTAAAACCGACCTTTTGACCGGACAAAATTATGTTTTCACGCGTATGTGCTCCCGGTTAATAATGGAATAATCAGCTCCAGAGAGTTAGAAATTTCACATGCTAGCTCCCAACAACGTAAAAAGTAACTTTCAACGGCACTTAAACTCTGCATTTTATCACTTCTTGTTCTGTATTTTGATTTTCGGCTTAAATCTGACGAAGGTTTTAATTCAAAAACAAAGAAAGATTTGGATTTTTAGGAGGTTTTATCCCCTATACATTTTAAGTTGGAGCACATAAATTCAGCATTCAAGAACCCTACTGAGTTTCTTTGCACCAAATGCTGCTGCAGGAAGACTTATGTCAGCAATTGCTGATTACTGCTTCTCTGACTTTTTTCTTGTTTCCACTATAGGCAATATAATTTCTTCTACACGCAGTAAATTCCTTTAAAACCTATGAATGCAGAAACTGTGGGGCTGTTCTGATCTTTTGATCTGATGGAGAGCCTTTACGTCAAATTCTGATAATGCGGAATATTTTTTAATGCATTTATGAATTAGTTATGAGGCTGAAACTCATAAGGAGGGGGAAGAAAGACAACTACAAGCTTCGGTTTAGCAGGTGCATTAGAGCAACAACTGTTTTGTACAATTAATGTCATCAGAACAGTCTGTTGCAAAAATGCATGGTCGTAGTCGCCTCCTTCTCCTCGCCCCCACTCCTTCCTCCGCTCCAGCTCTTGGCGCTTTTTACTCAAATCAGTTCGAAACAGTTAACATAAAAGTATTTGCTTGTATTAACTGATATTGAAATAACTATTCATGTTAGTTTGTGCAGAACTTGCTATACCTACAGGTGAAACTCTCCAAATGGCAGCGCTGGAGCCGGTGGCACTTGCTCGTGGATTATCCGTTACTCATTCAGTACCAAATGCGTCTGAATCGCGTTCGATAGCGCTATTTTCAAGACCAGGAAATCAACATGGGAACGAATTTGGCTTTGATGCAATTGCAGATGACAGTGATTTACTCGAGGTGCTTCAGGCGAA